AAAAGATGGGCTAGGTAGGTTTTATATAAAAATAATTTTTTAAAAATTGAAAATAAAATAAAAATTGCCTCTACTTTTTTGATAGAGGCAGTCCCTGCTTTTTCTCGAAGGTCAGGTACATATGGACACATTCCTTATCCTCTTCACTGTGCATTTAATCATTTGCATAAAACAAAGCTACTGAATCTTGGGGAGAGACTAAATTGTAATGAAAACGTATTATGTATTTTCTACACAAACATTTCCAAATTCAGATTAATTATAACATTATTAAGTGTAGGGTGTTAAAAGTAAATGAGAGATTCAAATTCTTTTAACTAGGCTGATAATTAGTTTGATTAACAAATTAGTTGCATTGTGCTCATTTATCAACAAATTAAACCCATCGATAATTGAACTGGCCATGTGCATCTCAAATCTTTAATAGTATTAATTAAGTGAAACAATTTGATTTTCTTTGTTTTGTAATGTAAAGTTTGTTGGGTTATGTGTTCTGATTTGTGAACATAGAAATTGGAAATTCATCCTCTCTTTTAATTAAACAAATGATAAATAGTTAAGTATCCTATTTCTTTGTCCCCCATTTAGAATAAGCAAAATACCACATACCTATAATTTATTCTTTTAATATTTTCTCTATCCTTAATTTGTTACTTTCCTTTTATAAATATACCTAATTTTTTGTCTATTTTGATAAATCAAGAAAGAATAATTTTTTTATATATATTATACCATTAATTAATTACTTTGAAAAAGGTATAACTTCTTAAAAATCTTAAGTTTTAATTCATCAACTTCATATTTAATAGGATAGAACGATAAACTCACGATGTCAATAATTATTTTCTTAATATGTGTATCAATTCAAAAATAGACAAATAATTAAGAAATGATGGAGTATCATTATAAAAATTACTTTTTCATTTAAAATCAACTCCATAATTGAACATTTTCATTTGCATAACTTATATTCTAATAATATTCATTAATCTGGTGTCTTTAACCCACACATTGTCCCCTCTTTGATTTTCTTTATCTTTTCTGTGAGCTGTCATCTTTTTTATTCACTTGTTGATTCAACCTATAAGGCTATAACCTGACCTTAGAGTTAGAGTGGAGAGTATTTTATAAGAGGTTCAGTTGGAATCCAATGTATTATATGAATAAGAAATTTAATGTTTGAAAATTCTTCAGGAAAACTACAAGAGATTCTTTGTTTTTCATTAGAAATTTATTACATTAGTACCAACTTGAGATATTATTCTTTTTATTTTTCATTAGAAATTTATTATATTAGGACAACTTGACATATTATTATGTCTTTATTTTTCATTTCTTTGACTTAGTCAATCCACAGTTTTGCATCCATATGAACCACAACTTGTGTAGAAAATAGTCCAAAGAGTATATCATTTGGAGAAAGTAAAGACATTAAATCTGCAAGGCTCTTATCTTTAGCAATAATTGTTGTTAAGAGAAATGGCTTATGCTGCTCTTTCTTCACTTATGTATACATTAGAACAACTCTTCAAACCTAACCAATCTTTCGTTTGTCGAAGTTGTACACAACAACATGTCGAATCTCTCCAAAAAAATCTTTCTGCTCTGCAAGATTTTCTTGACGATACCACAAAGGATATTGAAACTCTTAAGTTAATAGAAAAGAGGATCAGAGATGTAATATACAAAGCAGAAGATAAAGTTGATTCAACTCTAAGAAGCATCATTCTAGCTGATTGCACAGAGAGTAGAGAAGGGGCTTGTAAGTTGTTTGAGGAAGAATTGGTACTAGTGGAAAAAGATGTTGATTCTCTAAGGAAAGAGGTGATGCAGATGGAGTTTAACAAGCATGGAACAAGATATGAAACAACTCCATCCTCACCACAAAAAAGTAGTATTGATGAAGAAAATACTATTATTGGGATGGACGATGAATTCAACACCATACTTGATCGCCTCACTACCCAAACAAACGAGTTAACTGTCATACCCATTTTTGGTATGGGCGGTATCGGTAAGACAACTCTTGCCAAAAAAGTTTATGATGATTCATATATTCGCTCTCGATTTGATAAACATGCATGGGTTACTATCTCTGAAGATTTCAACCAGAGACAAATGCTTCTTGAAGTTGCCTCTTCAATTACCGGAAGCAATCAAGAGAAGAGCGATGATCAACTAATGGAGATTGTCTATAAAGGTCTCAAGGGTAGGAGATTTCTAATTGTCATAGATGATATTTGGAGTACTGAAGCATGGGACCAAATGCAAAGAATATTCCCAAATGATAAGAATAAAAGCCGAATTCTATTAACCACTCGTCTCAAGTATGTTGCCGATAATGTCAGCTGTCCTGAGTTTCCACCTCATTGTAAGTCTTTTCTTAGTCTAGATGATAGTTGGAATCTATTCACCGAAAAATTATTCAAAAAAGATTCATGTCCTCGTCAACTTGTAAAACTTGGGAAGCACATTGTACAACAATGTCAAGGATTACCTCTCTCAATTATTGTTGTCGCTGGACTTCTTGTGAAAATGGACTTAACGCGTGACAACTGGAAGAAGGTTGAGGAAAATCTGAAGTCATTCTTTGGTACGGTGTCCGAACGGTGCCAATCAATTCTTTCTCTGAGCTACAATTACTTGCCCCAATATTTGAGCGCTTGTTTTCTCTATGTTGGAGGTTTTCCTGAAGATACGGAGATTGGTGTTTCCAAGTTGATTAGGCTGTGGATTGCTGAGCAATTCATAAAGGCAAGAAGCAATAAAAGGTTAGAAGTGGTGGCAGAGGAGTATCTACAAGAGTTAATTGATAGAAGTCTAATTTTGGCTGGTAAACAAAGGGCTAATGGAAGGATGAGAAGTTGCAAAATTCATGATCTTCTTCGCCAACTATGCCTAAGTAAAGCTCATACTGAAAATGTTGTGCATGTCATGAATGGGAATGTTGTCGAAGCCATAGATGATCAACGTCGAATGATCCTTCTGTCTGAAGTTGAAGAGAAGCATGATTATTATAGTATGATGCAACATAGCAGTGATATAGTTCGCACCTTTATTTCAATGCAAGTAGATTTTCCAACACAGATTGTTTCACAGTTCAAGTTGCTTAAGGTATTGGATGTATTATCAATTGATTACGACTTCTCTAGTGTAATATCTGAGCTTGTACAATTGAGATATGTTGCTGCAAGAATTAGGGAAGCTGTTTCAGTAGCCAAATTGAGAAATCTACAAACCATAATTCTTCAAAGTCTTGAAAGGAATGAGTTGAAGCAGGCAATAGATATCTGGAGAATGACAGAGCTAAGGCATGTGGATATCAGATCGCCACTATATATATCTAATCCTCTTGAGGCAGAAAATCCTTTGTTTCTGAATAACTTGCAAACACTTTTTCTCCATTATTCACCTTTTGTTGCGGAAATCATCAGAAGAATTCCCAATCTAAAAAAGCTAAAGATTGTAGATGATTCTGAGAATCTTGATTGGCCTGCTATTCTTGATTCTCTTAGTCTTATACAGGATCTGGAGACACTACACATAAAAACCATGAAATGGATGGTTTTCTCTGGGGAAAATTTCCCTCCTAATCTCAAGCAATTGAAATTAACGCATACTTATATACCATGGGAAGTTGTGGAATTGCTCGCCAATTTACCCAATCTTGAGGTGCTCAAAGGGTATCATGCATTCGATGGCACATACTGGAAATTAGATGAAGATATTGTGTTTCACAATTTAAAATATCTACTACTGAGTGGGTGCTATTATCTCAAAAGGTGGGAAGCAGAACCTGCCAATTTTCCGAAGCTTGAGCAACTAATACTGGATAATTTTTCTGCTATGAAGGAGATTCCGGAGAGTATTGGAGAAATAATGACACTAAAATTCATCCGAGTAATATGGTGCAGCTCCGGTGTAGAGAAAAGTGCAAGGAAGATCCAAGAAGAGCAAGAAAGCTTTGGAAATTATGATCTTCAACTTCAAATTACTCCTAAGGTATGTTAAAATTCCATCTTTGAATCAGATCACTTGTGTTTACAGGCTTTATTTTAAATTTGTGATCATTTTGGAGACGGAGGGAGTATATAAAAAGATAAATCAAATACAAATACCACAATGTACTTTGTTAACTTGTGATGTATTTCTCAATTTGTTTTGGAATTAGTTTTGGTGATTGCGTAAAAGCAATGGAAGATGAAGAGAGACAAGGGTACTTGAAGGAAGCTGGTGATGATTATATATTTCGACATCTTCTCAATTTGTGAGTTACACATCCAATTCAATGTTTTATTTTGTTCTTTCAACTTTCTCCTATTACTATGTATTTAAATTTATAATCATGTATGTTGTAGCAATCATAGCAACCACGATATAGAGTCAGAATTTTCACACATATAAAAAAACAAGAGTGTGGAGGAAAATATTTAGTGATATAGATAATGAGAATTCATATATTCGATCTCCAACTTGTTTGGAACAAAGACTGTCATTTTTTATAGTAATAATGCTCTCAAACTTTCTGCAAATAAATTTGAGATATGCATATGTTGTAAACCAACCTAGCTCTGGAAGGGTCTATGGGGTAGAAGTGGTGAATGAGTTGGGCCAAGTAAAATATTGGACTGTTTTATTTGGGATCAATGCCCAATTAACAATTGATTAAAAGGGAAAATGAATTGGAAAGAAAGGCTTATGCATATTGAAGAAAATGTATGTCGTCTCGTCTTTATCTAGAGTCTAAGCTTCTGATCTCATTCTTATTTTTATCTTTAGTTACTTGTCATTTAAATATTTCTATTGAATATCCATAGTTTGAGTACTTCAATCGTGAGCCTAAGGCTTTGAGATTTATGCTCCAAATGCAACATTTGAAAATCCCATTATGCTTAACTCATCTATCTTATAATAGTAGCCTTGTTTAGTTCTCAAAATATTATTGTTATATTAGTAATGAGGAGCAAAAAAGAAATCAATTTCAGTCGTAAATGACTTTGTCATACTTTGTTTATTTTCACTCCCGTTGTTTTATTTTTCCCAAACTGCTTTATAAAGGTTACTTGAGCCGATGGTCTATCAGAAACAAAATTTTTACCTCACAAGGTTGGTGTAAAGGTCTACGTACACACTACTCGGTCGAGACCCCAGTTGTGTGTTGTTGGTTGATTGAATTGAGAGGCTCAAATTCAGAGTAGTGCTTGTTTTCTGTTTTCTGCCTTAAACGCATCTAGTAATTAGTTTGTTCCTTTCAATTCTACTTCGATTCATAACTTTCTTTATATTAGTAAGGCTGATTATGAATTTTACTGTTGATTGCAGGGTAAAGCAGATAAAATCGTCATTTTATATTTGCTGGGAAGATCTAGGGCTCTACATATACAGGGTTGGTTAATGCCACTTTTAGCTATCTCTGTGTTCTTGCTTACAACATGACTTGAACCCTCGACCAATATAATTAGTTAGAGGTGGAGGTGTTTCACCAACTGATTTATAGAGTTTGAATTTCAAGATTGTAGAAAAAACGATTAGAAATGTAGTATACAAAGCAGAAGATAGAGTTGATTCCAAGATTGTAGAAAAAACGATTAGAAATGTAGTATACAAAGCAGAAGATAGAGTTGATTCCAGCAGAGGTGAAGTCAAAACTTGATATTTGTGGGTTCTAAATTTTTAAACAGAACAACATTAGTCTAATATAACAATCGTCAAAGTTACAATCAAATATATATATATATATATATATATATAACCACAAACATATGAGCATATTATTGAAATTTCACTCGACACATTGTTATGTTTTGAAAACAAAAATGATGCATCATTTAGTATACATTAAATACTTCATTTATTAATATGGATATTTGAGTTATTTATTTCAAAGTTCTAAAATATTATTTGAAGGTAGATAATTGTTATATTTTAGTATAAATTTTGAAGATCTTTTTCTATAATATCAATATTATTTTAAGTAAAATATTAAATTCACCATTAATATTTTTGGGACCTAAAAAATTAAAGTTATTAAATTCACCATTATTATTTTTGGGACCCGAAGGGAAGGTTTTACTTGCTTCACCCTTAAGTCATCCTTGCCTTGAAAATTGAAGTTTCGAGAAGCAAACAATAACTTAATTAATATAATCGAAATTATTAATTCATGGAACTGCTTTAAAATTAAAGATTAAAAATAAATTTTTTGAATAAATTGTTATACCATGTGGAAACAAATTAAGAAAATAGAAAAAGGAGAGTTGAGGAGGAACTGCGAAGAGTAAATAGTAATTATCGGTGCTGAGGTCTGCAGTTTGACAACAAACAGCAACAATGAAGTATAGTAAAAATTACACCCTACCTTTTGAAAAGAAATTAAATTTTGGGTTTAACATTTTATAATGATTCAAAAGAAATCAATATAGTGAAATATTGTTTAAGAGTATGACACTATAGATTGGTTACTGATATTATTTTTGAAATTAGTTGTTAGATGTTGTTTTGGAGTATTACACTATTTTTTTTTATTATTTTCAATTATCAATTTTCTGTTTTATTAATTGAAAAAAATATAAAAATCTATAGAGGATGAAAATTGAATTAAAGGAGAGTAAAAGATAGTCACAAAACATTTTTTTTTTCCAAAATAAATAATCCAGAAAATTGAATTTCTGCTAATGGGGATCGAACCCCATCCAAATAATTAGAGTTGCGCGCGGTTACCATTGCACCATCCACCTTAGTGTGATGTGGGTTCGCACGCAAAATTTGAATATATTTGTACATGAATTTTCAGTACGTATATAGGATCTACGTAAAAGATAGTGAGTTCGTTTGACTTCCCATTTAACACTGTAACTCCAGCACTAGATTCAAGTCTAAGAAGCATCATTCTAGCAGGTCGCAAGGACAAGCGGCAAAAGGCTTGTATATCCTTTTACAAAGAATTGTTGAAAGTGGAACAACAAGTTTATTTTGTTAACAAAGTGGTGATGTTGGTCGATTTTAACAACCATGGAAGCAAATTTCCAGAAAATTAGCAAGAATGTCCTCCTTAACACTATATTTAATCGCCTCATGGCACTAATGAAGAAGTTAATTGTGATACCAATTTTAGGTATGGGCGGTAGAGGTAAGACAACTCCTGCCAGAAAAGTTTATGATAATTCAAATGTTTGTTCTCAATTTGATAAACATGCATGGATCACTATCTCCGAAGAATACAATAAGAGATAAATGCTTCTTAAAGTTGTTTCTTCAATTATTGGAAGCAACCAAGAAATGAGCAATGATAAACTAATGGATATTGTGTGTAAAGTCTTGAGGGGTAGGAAATTTCTAATTGTCAGAGATGATTTTTGGAGTACTGAGGCATGGGACCAAATCCAAAGAATATTTTCCAAAGATGACACTCGGCTCAAGTATGTTGCTGACTATGTCAACAGCTCTGATTTTCTGTCTCATACTAAGTCTTTTCTAAGTTCATATGATAGTTGGAATCTATTCACGAAAAATTATTCAAAAAAGATTTGTCCTCCTTTACTTGTAGAAACAGGAAAGGATATTGTACAACAATGTCAAGGATTACCCCTCTCAGTGGTTGTCGTTGCTGGACTTTTTGGAAAAATGGACTTAACGTATGACAATTGGAAAGAAGGTTGAGGAAAAATCTGAACTCATTCTTTGGTACTGTGTCTGAGCGGGGTCAATCAATTCTTTCTCTGAGCTACAATTACTTGCCTCAATATTTGAGGGCTTGTTTTCTCTATGTTGGAGGTTTTCCTGGATATGTGGAGATTTGTGTTTCCAAGTTGATTTTAGGTTATGAATTTCTGAGCAATTCATAAAGGTAAGAAGCAATAAAAGATTAGAAGAGGTGGGAGAGGAGTATCTACGAGAGTTAATTGATAGAAGTCTAATTTTGGCTGTTAAACAAAGGGTTAATGGAAGGATGAGAAGTTGCAAAATTTGTGATCTTCTTCGCTAACTATGACTAAGTGAAGCTCATATTGAAAATGTTGTGAATGGGAATGTTGTCAAAGCCATAGATAATCAACGTTGAATGATCCTTCCTTATGAAGCTGAAGAGCAGCATGATTATAGTATGTAACATGGCAGTGATATAGTATATACCATTATTTTTAATGGGTGTAGCTTTTCCATAAAAGATGTGTTCCATTGTTTCAGAATTCAAATTTCTTAAGGTGTTGGAAATATTATCATTACACTGGTTAGATTTTTCTAGTGTAATATCTTAGCTTGTACGTTTGAGATATATTGCTGGAAGAATTAATGAAGGTATTTCACTAGCCAAATTGAGAAATTCTACAAACCATAATTCTTGAAAGTCTTGAATGGGAAGTGTTGGAGCAGGCAGTAGATTTTGGAGAATGTCACATGTGGATATTGATTGGCCACCATATATATTAAATCTTGTTGAAGCAAAACAAGCTTTGTTTCTTAATAACTTGTAAACACTTAATCTCTATTACTCTCATTTTGTTGCGGAATCATAAGAAGTTTCAATCGGAAAAAGCTAAAGAATTAAGAAAGAATTAAGCATTGTGATTGGCTTGCTATTCTTGATTCTCTCAATTTTGTACACGATATGGAGACACTACACATAAAACCCATGAAATGGATGGGGATAATATCCCTCTTAATCTCAAGCAACTGCAAATAAAACATACTCGTATACCATGGGAAGATGTGAAATTGTTGGCTAATTAACCCAATCTTGAGGTGCTCGAAAGGGATCGTGCATTCCATGCAACATATTGAAAATTAGATGAAGATATTGTGTTTCACAAATTAAAATATCTACTATTGAGTAGGGGTTATAATCTGAAAAGGTGGGAAGTAATTGATAGTGATAATTTTCCGAAGCTTGAGCAACTAATACTGGATGGTTCTATAAATTGGAGGAGATTCCGGAAAGTATTGGAGATATAATTACACTATAATTCATCGGAATAAAATGGTGCAGTCATACTTTAGAGAAAAGTGCAAAGAAAATTCAACAAGGATAACAAAGCTTGAGAAATTATGAGCTTCAACTTCAAATTACTACTAATAGGGTATGTCAAAATTTCATTTTTGAATCAGATCACTTGTGTTTACATGCTTTATTTTAAATTTGTATTCGGAGCTTGATTTAATTGAAATTACAAATTTAAAGAACAATACATATAAATAATGTCAACCTAATAATATTTGTCAACAATCTAAATCAAATACAAATACAACAAGGCTACTTTGTTAATTTGTGGTGTTTTTGAAATTATATTTGGGACTTGTGTAGAAGGGATGAAAGATGAAGAGAGACAAGAGATTAATTGAAATGGGGGACACCACCAAAACTTAATTTGCACAATATCCACTTAATTTCTTTGTGATTTAATTTTTAGGGTTACGTTCAAAAAATTTAAAAAAAAATGGGGTTGGGTTGTGGGGTCAAGGACCTTTTCATCACTTTTAGAACTTGGGGGATAAATACAAATTTATAAAAATACAATAAAGGCCCTTTTTATATCTTATTAAATATTTTCCTTTTTTAAAATTCATTTAATTATTCAACATTTCTTCTCTCTCTTCTTCAACCTCTCTTCTTCCTTTTTTTTTTTGAGTATCACAAATAGTTGAACTATTTTTTCTACGATCTTCTTCCCCAAGTCGAAACATTCATCTTCTTGTGCTCTATTTAAGGTTGATTATTGGACAAGACCGGATCAATATGACCAATTTTACCGGAATCGATCCTTGTTACCGGATTTAATTACTGGAATCGGGTCATAAAAAAATCGAGTTTACTGAAAGTTCCAAAGGTTCCGACTGGTCCCTTAGTAATCGGACAGGAACCAGATTGAACCGGATCAGAATCGGTTCTTACCAGATCATTTGTACCGATAATTTTTTTTTTATTATTATTAACTTTAATTATTATATAATATTATATTATTACAAACTTCAATTTAAAACTGTAAACTTTAAAGTAAATTTTAAAGTTTAAAGTTTATATTGAATTTAAAGTTTAAAATTGACTTTAAAGTTTAAACTTTAAAGTTTATATTGAATTTAAAGTTTAAATCTTAAAATTTAATTTTATATTAATATTTAACATTCAAACAAATATTACAATAATTGACAATTAAATTTTTAAAATGACTTGAATTAAATAGAAGAGACTATTTTAAAAGAAAATCAAGGTGGATAGCCTTATATTTATTCAAATAAATAACTTGTACAATACAAATATTAGAAAGACATAAAGAGTACATAATTTAGGTATTGAATATTAATTATTGTATTAACAATTGCATCTTTTTTTAAATTTTTTTCGTAAATTTTGTATCATTTCAAAAGAAAGTTTTTTTGAAACTTGTATTTGTCGTTCTTCTTCCATTGCTTCCATGTCATCATCTCTATTATCACCAAATATTTCATTATTTGGTCTTCTATTTGGCTACTTAATAGTGGTAGTTCGATATTTCTTCTTTTGGCATTGATCCAATCTCGAAACAACATCGATATTTTCAAACTATCATTTGCTAATGAATATCGATGATCTCCAATCATAAATCTCGCCACAATAAAGTTTTTCTCCGAAGCGATCGATGATGGTTGAATCTCTAGAACATCTCAAACAATCCTAGAAAG